TTATTGGATATCTTTTGTTGTTGATTTTGATAATGATGATGATCTTCCCATGATGAGATGGTGATTTTTGCTCCCGTTCATCCAAATCCCTAAATCCAAAACCCTTGAATCCAAATCCCTCTAATCCAAATGATTTTGTTTTCTTGTATAGTTGTTTTTGTTCTTTTAGGAAGAGTAGTTGATTTTGTTAAGTTTCCTTGATTTTGTAGGTTAGTCTGTTTTGATTCTTGTTCTTTTCATTTCTTTGATTTTCTTTTGTTTTAAGGTTACTAACCGTTTTCTTTGTATATAGTTCTTTTTCTCTTTTATTTTCTCATCCAGTTTTACAAATTCATGCTATGCTTGTGGAGGTTCATTAAAATCTTTTTTTTTTTACCACGCTTTTCTTTGCTAGCGTTGGATCCCCGGTGAGATCGTTCTTATTTCCCTCTTTTCTTTATTTTCTTTAATTGGTTGCATAGAATAGGATTAGTTTAGAAAGAGTGGAATGGTTCGAGGATGTTTGCTTTGCAATACCAAGGGTGTTTGGGGTCATTGGCGTTGTTGTCGAATGACCACTTGTTTAACGATTGGGATTTATATGATATGCATGCATCTTTGCACTTTCTTTCTCTTCTCCTTTCTTTCCTTTTCTACTTTTCATTCTCGTTTCTTTCTTCTCATAAAAAAATGATTTTGAGGCTTTCTTTTAGTTTTCTTTTCACGGTATGCTTTTGTTATGGACATAATATCATCCGAACTTTTGCATTTGAATGAATGGTTTCCTATGTGGTATCGGTATGCACGGTTTGAGAGTATCTTAGTTGATTCTAGGATAGAGTATGCTAAGGTAGCGTCTTTAGAACTTTTTGGGCCTTGTAGCCGAATTTTATTTGTTTTTGAAAATTTGCAATTGCTCCCTTTTGGTGAATTTGAAACTTAAAGTGAGTTATTGCTACAACTATGTGAGGATTAATTCTTTTCAAACCTTCTATATATCTTGCATGAGTGGCACATGGATCCTTGGCAATTGTATGCTTTATCTAGAATTTAACTTTCATCTCCCGACATCGCGACCGAGCCATTTAAGAAGGACAAAGGCATCTTTTCGGGGTGGTAATTTTTACTTCTAGGATAGTTTTCTTTTCTTTGTTTTGGGTTTTCATTTGCCTACTTACTAACCATTTGAGCCATATACCCTTCTTTTCAAGCCACATCTTTAGATCTTGAGCCTTTTGTTTAATTTTTGTTCCCATCATTGGTTTTTGTGAAACATTTGGTCTCTTATATTGGAGTTTTGGTGGATGAAATGGATTGTTTGGTTCTTATCTTCTAAGCAAGTTTGTGTTGAAAATATTTTGTGAATAAAAAGCAAATGCAAAAGTTGAAAAAACCGTCCACAGTTAAAAGAGGCGAGGACAATGAATAAAGTGAAAAACTGGAAAAAAAAAAAAAAAAGTGAAAAAGCAAAGCACATTCAAAAGCTTTGGCAAAAATTGAAAAAAGAGAAAGATGAAAAATTCAAAATTATATATATATTATTTTAATGTAAGTTTCTTTCTCCCTATTTTAAACATTAAGGACAATGCTTTGTTCAAGCTTAGGGAGAAGCGTTCTTACGCTTTTTGTACATATGTTTGTGATTCTTGTCTTTGAATAAGCTTGGGGGTGTGGTGATTTTGTTTGGTGATTACTTGATTTGGGTGTTGAGGATTGATCACCCTTGGCTTCACAATTTAGGGATACCACCAAATTTCAAATTTTAGCCTACCCTAACCCTTCTCGCCTTTACATTACAACCCCTTCCAAGACCTTTAGACCTTTATGGTTGAGTCACTAGTCGGTGGAGGGAGATGTAGGTCAGGCTTATAGAGCGGTATGCAATGGTTGAGACGTCGAGTAGCCTCAAATCCCTTTCTTTTTCCGTCGAGATGCTTGCTAAAAGTGGATTTGAGGCTAATTGGGAAAATGTGCTAAAATGTTTTAAGATGAAAGTGAATTGCGTTTCATTAGTTCTTTATGCTTAGCATATCCTATGCTTCAATCAACCCTAGATATCTTGGAACGTGCATACCATCATTGTGTAGAAAACTGTTTATTCACTTGCATTAGGTCATTTGTAAAAGTCCGTTTCATTAGCTACTTGCTTAAATTCTTGGCTTTTTTATTTTTCTTTCTTCTAATGATTTTGCCTCATTTTACTTCTAAGAGTTATGGGTTAATTTCTTAGGAAACCCTTACGAGAGCATCACTCGTCCTCTAGAGCGATCTAGAGGTTTAAATGGCTTGTCTTTACTTGCTAAAATTGACCGTGATTCCTACGAAAGTGAGTCTTAGTGTATATTCATGTCTCTTTCTTTCTTTTTCCTTGTTTGAATAAAGTCTTTCATCCTATTTCTTCGTGCTTGGTTTTTGCTCGAGGACGAGCAAAAATTTAGCTTAGGGGAGTTTGATGAGTGTCATTTATGGCACTCATTTAGCATCTTTTAGGATGATTTGACATGGTTTTGGTATCTCTTTTACTTCCTTTTCTCTAGTTTTGCTTACATTTTCTTTACTTTGCTTTTTCCTCGGATGCTTTCTTATTTTCTTGCTTTTCTAGTGTATTTTTCATTTTCTTCTTTATTTGTTTGATCTTCTTTGTTTATAGGAAGTTGGCAATGTTCGAGAGCCTCAAGTGTGTCTTCCTCGGATTTTTCAAGCCAAAAGAGATGTCTCGTTTCTCCATTTGAAGCCCAAGAGCAAAGGAGTTAATGTTCATCAAAGTTGCACCCTCATGCCATGTGGGCATGAAGGAGTGGTGTCGAACGCACCTAGAGTGCTCAAACTTACGGCTTATAGCATCATGGCTCATCCGGAGCTCACGAGGACAAGCTCGACCACACAAGGGGAGTTCCCCTTCTCTAACAACGCGGGCGCGCGCGAGAGAGGAGCGGGCGCGCGCGAGAGAGGAGCGGCCGCCCAGGCTGCTGCGCGGCCGCGCCTCCTTCCTCTCCCTGATTCGTACCCTTTTTGTAGCGGTCACGCATTCAAGTGAGGGGCCGCGCTCTTTGAGATCCTTTTTGAACGTCTAACTAACTTCCTTATAGTTAGTTTTACTATATATAGATTTTCCTTTATTTTTCTAGGGAGTAGAATTAGAATTGAATTAGAATTAGATTTTTATAGAGAGAAACTCTTGATTTTGTGGTATTGTTCTTAGATTCTAGAGAGGGTTGCTTGGTATTTGATGATGATGCTATTGAGATCTTCATTCCTCTTTGATATTAATCAAAGTTTTGTAAGAATTTTTTACTCTTCAATGCAATTTGATGTTTGATTCTGTTATATTGTTGAATTTCTGTTGTTTAGCTTGAATTTGATTGTTGAAGTTGAATTACAATGTTGATGATTAGATTGATGATTTCTTTTGTTATGCATTTCAATTTCACCATGATTAATGAGTAGTTGATTTGCTAGGGAATGTGGTGAATCATGTTTTGGTGATAATCTAATGCTAATTTGGGGTTTTTGATTGAATTGTTGATGAGATTTGGTTAATGAAACTTGTGCATGTTCTTGGTTTGAAAAGGAGTAGCTAACCTTTAGGATCATGCTAGATTGCATAATAGCCTTCAATGACACGAACAATTGATTTGAGTGCTATTATTATCGTTTGATCTTGATTTGTGATTTTCCTATTGAAGTCATTTCTAGAGAAATCTAGCTTGACCCTAGGAAATAGCCTATTAAGTGACTTTGATTGCTTGTTCCATTTTCCCTCGCATCGCTTTGTTAATTAAATCCTCCCGAATTAGCAAGATTGTTAGCAATGCATGTGCATCCTAAGTTCCCTAGTGTTTCGATATTGAATTCTATTTGATTTTGCTTGATTGATTTGATTTCCAATAGTGTGACCAACCCACTCTTTAGCCTTCGGAATAGCTTAGCATCGACCTTAGCACTCCCTCCTTCCCTTGGGATTCGACCTAGACTTACCCTATACCCCGGGTTGGTTTAGCTTTATAAATATTATTGTTTTGACTGGGAATTCTAGCCCCCAACGACCTAGATTTACCCCTTGTCACTTATCTGAAGAGAATGTGAGGGAGAAGAGAGTGTAATAGAATAGAGAGAGAAGTAGATTAGATTCAATGTAATTGATATTATGATTTTCAATTACGACTTGATTAGCTTAAATAAGCCAGATGATTACACTAAGCCTCCTCTTTTCTATCAAAGATTCCTTTTTAACAAATTCATCAAACGACAAAAAAAAGGAAACACGGCTTACCAAAGTTAATCAACTTAACCAAATTAACTAACTTCCCCTTTATCAGATAATTTACAATTTATGGGAAGTTAATTCCCTTATCTAATTCCTAGGAAATAGGTTTAATTAGTTTGCTAAATATTAAGCAAATCAAAAAACCTGGGAATTTTGAATGACCTAAGATTATAGGAAGACCTACGTATCTTAATTCCTACATTATGTAGGACTTCCAAATTCCTTAGGAATTTCAACTTCCTCCATTTTAAACTGTTTGGGCACAACATAGCACAATTGTATTCCTAGGAATTTTGAGTGCCTATGGGAAGTTGGTCCAACCAAACAATACCTAAGAGTATTAAGTAATAGGGGTAAAATATAATCTTCATGTTTTTGGGTAATCTCTAAAATATTGTATGACAATTCTTCTAGGGTTCTACTCAGAAAATTAAAAATTGGAAATTACTTATGGTTTCCATATTTTTGTTTATAATAATAAATAAATAAAAAAGAATTCATGCTAGAAAGATATTTACATAGAATTTGCTAGTAGCTATTAAAAGTCAGAAAAGATATAAACATAGAATTTGCTAGTTGCTACTCCCCTCTTATCCTTCTGTCACCCCAGAAACAATAGATGCATGAAACCACTAGGAACTCTACTAAAATAAAGATAATACAACCCACATATATAGGGAGTAACAAGAAATATAGCCGAGGTTAAAGGTGAGTTATAGGAAGAGACGACAACGCTTTTTATACAACTGCATACCTCAATTTCAAGATTCCATTGTGTGGAACCCAGCAATTTAGCAAGATTGGCATTTGCAGTCTGCAATTTTTATCAAAGTAGTCAGGACTAATGGTTCAGGCACATCAAAAGGAGGCATTAATGATATAAGATGTGAAATGCAAGAAAGAGAAAAAAAAAAAAAAAAAAAAAAAAAAATTAACAAGGCAAATTATAGAAGACTACAGCTCACCAAATAGATCGCAATTTGGAGGAATTCTTTTACCATTTTTTATTAGAAGTTTAGCCAGTGTAAAATAACACACCCCCCCCCCCCCCCCGCGATCCTTCTGTCTCCCAGAACTTTTAATGCATCTTGAGGCAAGACTTCATGAAATCCTTAAAATCATGACTTTTGAGAAATTTATGTGTGCGTTTGTTCATTTTCAATTTACTCTAATCACAATAAATAATTTTCGGATTTCTACATTAAAATCTAGACCATAAACTTGGGCTAATTGTATCATTAGTGAGTTACACCAATAGACAGCAGTAAGTTGTAGGTCCTCAAGCACAAATTCTCTTTTGACACAATTATTTCATAATAGAAAAACAAGAGAGAGAATGAGGAAGGGAGAAAAAGCACGAGAGGGACATAGGAAAAAGAAAAGGACATTTGTATCACCTCCAATTTGGCCAATTGAGCTAGGACCTCCATCCTTGTATGATTGTGCTTCTGCTTCTCCACTTCAGTAGCTTCCATCATTTCCATCGTCATTGCCTGAAGTTCTGAAGCCTGACATTATAAAAGGTTTAGAAATATCAGAGATGTTTAATCTTTATAAGTTTTTAACCAACAGTACAAACACAATATATAGAAGTAAACTACAAATTATTCTTAAACCAAATTTCTCACTGTCTAGTACAAGCCTGCAGCAATCAACACACTAAAAAAGATGCATCAATATGGTCAATACTAGGATGCTCAGACTCGTATTATCCATAATCGAGGACCCAGGGATATGTTTTAGAGGTGTCCAAATTTTGGATTTGGACTCGTGAACATGGGTTATTAATTAAAAAACTACATATACCCATTTAGAGAGATTTAGGGTCAAATGAGAAGATTTATAAAATGAGAAAGATAAGAAGGATTATGTATGCATATTTTGTGAATTGAATGTGCTTATTTTCTAAACTAAATGTGCAAACTTTTTTTACTCAAGCACATTGTGCATATAATTTGAACATAATATGCACATTTTACATAAAATTGCGGAAATAAAAAGGTGCACATTATATATATAAGATTCACTTTTGTGCAGATTTTTACAGCTAAATGCGCATATATCTTAAACAAAATGGGCAGCTTTTCCATCAAGAGTATATTATTGGAACAGGTTTTGCATATATCAACATTAGAAAACTAACAATTTAGTTCGAAATTGAAATATGCACATTAAGCTCATAAAATATGCATATTTATACAATAAAGTTGCACATTCAACCTTTGAGTCCTTCTCATTTTAATAATCTTCAGCAATTACTTCTAAAAATGTGATTCTAGGTGAGGAAATAAAGTACTTTAATAAAACAAAATTAAAAACCAATAAAAAAAAAAGTCAAATGAAAGGTTGAAAAAATACTTCTTGGGAAATGCAAGCTTTATTGCCCAAAAAAAATCAAAAATCCTTAACAAATTAGGAAGTGCAGAAGACTAAGTAAAAGAACCCATTAGAGAGGTCGTCATCAGGTGTCTGAAGGTATTAGATGCCCGAAAAGTGCCCCACCTGGTCGATCAAACGAATGTCAAAAAAGCCATAATGTCTTAATTTTAGTTTTTGAGTATCTCAACTCCAATTTCAGATCTAGGGTCGTATTCACGTGTTGACACAGGTAACGACTAGGGGTAATGGCAATTTTCAAGCATCACAAGGTCAAAATCCAAGAGCTTGAACTTCTAATATACAAGTTTTTCTGGAGAAATCTTCCAAGTGGAATCCGAAACAGATCTATACTTAAACACCACACCAAGAAGAAGAGAAAAAGTGAAAACTAAATAGATAAATAGAAAAACAGACAAATTGTCCAAGAGAAGGAAATGTTCCAAAGAATGGCAGTGTTCCCATGAGTAAAAACAGTGGTGCATGTCTGTATGATTTCAGAATGAGCTTACGTTAATAACTTCAGCCCATCATCCTATCTCTGTTACGCCATTCTGCATCATCAACACCAATTCCAATTATCTTCCGGATTGGGAAATAAGTTCTGTAAATGTGGTAAATAGACTGGCAGAGCCCGAGTCACATGCATGTTTTCTGCTGGTTGGAAATAAAACAAATATTTTATATTGAAAAGACAAAGTGTTTTTCGCATGTAAACCATTCACATTCAGTGGCCATCATTTCTCTTATAATCTTAATGCTCATTGTCTAACATAAAGGTTCTAAAGTAGCAGAGAATTTTCCATCTATTCTATGTGTTAGTACCATGGACTCGAGTATAAGTCCCAAAGCTCACAATTGGTATTTGGTAAGTAAAGTTTAATTCAAGTAGTTGGCACTCTTTCACTCCATGTACATATCAAAACTCCCTGAGTGAATTTCCAAGGAACAAAAGATGTATAAACATCTACTTCTAATCAATTCAAAAGCCAATACTAATTAGAGAGCAATATGGTCCGCCATACAGCCCACACCAAAACTACAAGCAATAATTAAATTTGAGCATGAAACAACGCATTAAAACATCAAAATCTAGCCACAAAAAAAAATAATAAAAAAAATAAAATAAAAATATTGAGAAGTGATTCTAAGTTCTAACCTCTTGTGCTGCTTGATTTGCTTGCTCCTCGAGTATCTTCTCAAGGCTTTGCTTCTCTCCCTCCAATCGAGCCACTATATTTTCCTGTTCCTTAATGGCCTCTGAAGCTTTTGCAGCAGCTTTTGCAGCCAAAATTTGTCTTCGTCTCTCCATCCTTTCCTCCCGCTCTTGTTCAGCCCCTGAGTCAGACGTCGAACATGAATCTGAATCCGACTCATGATTGCCAGCAGACTGAGAGACACTTTTGAAACCCCTGATACCAGTTTTCGGAATGCCTTCATCACTGCAATTCATTTCGAAAGTAGTTCTACCAATTCTTTCATCATCACAAACAGCTATTTTCCCTTCATCAGACATCAGAACAGACACATTCTCGCTATTCCCAATAGTCGGGGAATCAACCTTAACCATGGACTCGTCATAGCCTAATGACCCACCCCCTTCCCCATACCCATTCCCATTCCCATTCCCATTCCCATCCCCAGTTATATTTCTTTCACGCTCTACTTCATCATAGCCTTCCACCTTTTTCAATCTCAAGCTCGGTTCCGATCCCTCAACAATCTTCCTAGATCCCATGCCCGAACCGCCTCCCACTCCAAGAACACCACTTCCTTTCTCACCATTCCCATCACCTTCTTTCCTCACTGTTTTCCCCACTACTTTACCATTACCCTTACCCTTCAATCCCATAATTCCAGCCTTTACCCCATCTTTCCGTGCCCCACTAGAGCGATTCGCCTTAGTGACAACGTGTTGTTTCGGGGTATTAAGAAGTTCAGTCCAATCACTATCATTAAGAGAAGAGTTGGGTTTTTTTCCCAACATCCTTCTTCAAATTCAGCTTGCTTACCTTACTAATTTCATCACTACTTGATTTAACTTCACCATGATTAACAGAATCATTGTATAATTTTTCCAAATTTTCATTATCCTCAGATGTTTTCTTCTTCAATTGATCTCGCAAAGGAACAATACCACTAGATTTTTGTGACGTAATTGCATCTAAACCATCAGATTGCTTACTCTCCTCTTTACGAAGTGATTCAGCAGCTTGTTGGTCAATCTAGACCCAAGAACAAATAAAATTATAAAGGAAAAAATGAAATTAATTGCCATTGTTAACAATTTGACAGAAATTAAGTTGCGAAAGGGGAGGAGTGAGAGGGAGAACCTGTTGAAGGAGATTTTCAGCAACCTTGAGCTTGGAAGAGATCCAACCAGCCATGCTTCTTCGTAAACACCTAACACGGTTTACTGCAAAAATTGGAATCGGGAGAATTGATCATTTGATTCATTTCTCAAATCTGTTGGCTAACCGTGCCTATTTAGTTAAGGAGTATTCATTACGCATATTTTTCAGGTTCTTCATAAGTAGAATGTGTTCGTGCTAATATACGGGTTATAATTAATAATAAGATTTTAAAAAAAAATAAAATGTACATAAATATAGTCATAAAGATAGTTTTTAATAAAACAAAAAAAAAAAGGTAACAACAAAAATCACAAAAAAAAAAAAAAAAAAAAAAAAGTCTTTGAATGAATCTAAGTCTTCAATTTGATTGTTAGTGCATCTCTCGTTTTAAGTAGTAGAATTCTATTTCGGGAACATGTAGTATGAAAGTGAATGTATTCATCAGACGTTCACTCAGATACTCATAGGCTGCAAATTCCTGATCATAAGGAACATATTTAGTCATTATGCATGTGTGTATTTCCTTAATATATGATTAAACGGTATACTTACATTATTTGTCATTGCTTGAATACTTGATATTGGACAGCCGATAATCATCTCAGCATATTGGCCAAAGAGTACAACAGATAATGTATTTGTAGCGTCACCAACTTTTACATTGATTCTATATCTGTTATTATTGATATGATAAAATTAGGTATAATGATGTGAAAAGCATGATATAATTATATAGTTATGAATATAAAGTATAAAGTGGGACTACCTTGGCCTACTATTGGAAGGGTCACACTTCACGCACATATCAGCTCTCCTTGAGTGTCGAGCACATGATTCATACCAAATAGGCATAGAAGAATCAATGGATAACACTTTTGCTAGTACTCGAAAGTATATTACCTAAAAAAAACATCAAATATTAGATACATCATGTGTAAGAAAATGTCAAATAAATAATGGTTGGTATTAATACATTATGAGCAGCTGAAAACTGATTTAACTTGATTCTTTTAGCATTGAACACCATTTCCATTTGAGAGATATTGTTAGCTAAAATTTGACTCCAGCTGATATGTTTTTGGACATATCCATCATCTGCATACCTATATGAGTTATATAAATTTAAATTAGTATGCAACATAAGCTTACATTGTTGATTATGAAGTTTTTAGGCTTACCATCCATGTAGATCATCAGTTTCATCAATATCAGGATCAATAAAAAGCCTGGTACGTCCAACAGTCGAAAGACATGCACCTATTGGAATGTCAGTAAAAGTATTCAAAGCAAAGATAATAAAGTTAATGATACCATAGCCTTTTATGGTTATCTTATTTAATAAAAAAATACTTTACCATAGTAGGAGCCAACTGATACCATGGATGCACCCAACACATGATCCTGATCAAGCTCATGGAATAAGAAACGACCTTGATTATGAGCAAACCCTTCCCATAAATTTATCCTCATTGTTTCCATCCTGTAAATCAAAATATGTGTTTGGATTTTATTTTTTTTATTAAAAAAAAACTTAACATTGCAAAAGTTGTTATAATTACATAAACATATTGTAAATTGTGTAACACGCTCTTACTTTATGTTGTAGAGTAACACATCTCTTTTGAATTGTTGTCTCCTGAGACTCTATATGATTCAGACACATATATAACCAATCCAATAACATCTGTGTACATTCATCATCAAGAAAAAAAATTATATGACCATTAGAACTCATAAATAATTTTGAAAATGCAATAAATATTCATATTATGGATTTTTATTACTATAAGACACATACCGATGAGAGGAGAATTGGGCATGTGAAGGTACTGTGGAATGTGGCAAAATTCTATAAACCTGAAATTGTACCTTGGGATATCATCACAATCATCAAGAACTTTTGTTATCATGGTAATACTACCAAATTTCAATCTCATTTGGTTATTGGCATATTTGTAAGATGTATCCGGAGGCATAAGCTCTAGCTGAGCAATCGAATAAACATTTCCTTGTTTCAAAATCTCTTTATATTTATCAATATCGGTATTGAATAATGTGACTTGAATTTCGTCCCCCTAGAAATTGGAAATTCATACATAAGTGTTAAATAAATGAATATATCGGAAAAAGAAATCAAGAACTAAGTAAAAATATAGTTCAAATAAACCTCTGAGTCAATGAATACTATATTCCATGAACGATGGACGTAATTTGGACCTCTAGCTCTAGCTTGTTCATTGACCATCCATAATAAACGCACTCTCATATTCACTTTGAATGAAGTAGGGGTAATACAACAACATGGTGTGTATCTTGTATCCATTTCCTGCATTTTAACATCATTGAAGTGGGCATTAAAAATAATTTACATAATATATCATTATCGATCCAACCTCGTACGTGTATAAAGGTTATATAATTAGTATAGATAGTGAAATAAACCTTTAATAAAGTAAAAGAGAAGCATTAACATGACAAAGAGAATTAAAAAAAATAATAAAAAAAAAGTATAGCTCTGAAAATTAAACTAAAACAAACATTGCTAAGAGTTACTAAATAAATGTTATAACACAACTACATACATAGCTAATTTACACTGTTTAATACTTCCTTATACACAATATTTTTAGTTAAACTATTGGAAACATCCTTCTTATGTTGTAGTAAGATTTTTAGCCCGGAAGGAGATGTAACTCGTGACATTGCAACATATAATTGGCCATGACTAAACACAGGCCTATGGAGAAAAATGCCAACTTTGCTCAACGTTTGTCCTTGGCTTTTATTTATTGTCATGGCAAAAGCTAATTTTAATGGAAATTGCCTTCTTTTAAGAGGAAGATCTATCTTCTTGTTAGAAGGCGTTAAATCAATTCTTGGAATAAGTACTGATTCCGTAGCTCTTGGACCAGTGATCACTTGTGCTTTAATCACCCTATTACCCAACTTCTTGATAATAAGGCGTGTTCCATTGCACAACCCTATGGATTGGTTCATATTTCGCATCAATATTACCGGAGCACCAACCTTCAACTCTAAGCAATGATTAGGAAGACCCGACAAATTTAATGAGTTCAATAATTCCATAGGCTCCATGTTATCAAGGAACCCACCATCTCCTGTATGACCCAAAGAATCCGAACTATAATATCTCTGCACATTTCCTGGTAGCATTGATAAAATTTTCGAATTTAACTCATCGACATCATTGTTTGTTGGTGCTAGAATCCCGCGATCCTTGAGGTACTCCCAATCCGTGTAATTTGAAGGCAAGTTGGGGTAGACAAAGTTAATGAGATTTTGCAAACCATGTTCATCATCGGTTATCAAAAAATCATGTGGAATTTTAATCCAATTTGGTTCCCCTTCCTCTATAATGGGCACTCCTACTATATCTCCTTCTCCAACTTTTATTATCCAATCAGCAAATTCTCGAATTTGCTCAAGGGTATCGGAGGGAACTTCACTTCGACATAAGCGCATGTTTATCCTTAGGCACATAACTTGGCACTCTCTCCAAAAGGATGCTCGATGCAAGGTAGCCGCAACAATAGATTCTCGTCTTTTATCTGGCACTACATGAAGTATCTGTCTAAAGTCTCCACCAAGAATAACCAATTTACCTCCGAAAACTCTATTGTCATTACAAATGTCCTTGAAATGTCGATCTCCCGCCTCGAATGCTAATCGATGGGTCATTACAGCCTCATCCCATATAATTAATGATGCTTCACGGATCAAATCAGCACGGGTTGAGTCTTTTTTGAAGTTACAAACCGAATGTTGATCAGGGGATCGAAAGGAATCTTGAAAGTTGAATGTGCAGTTTTACCCCCAGGCAATAATAAAGTAGCAATTCCCGATGAAGCCACGGAGAGCACAATCTTTCTTTCTGATCTGAATTTTGCAATCAGAGTGTTCAAGAGGTATGTCTTTCCTGTCCCACAACTACCGTAGACAAAAAACAGCCCACCTACATCTCGAGAATGTGCATCGAGTATTGCAGCGTATACTCTATATTGATCCATGTTTAACCCTCTAACTAAGGTATCAAATCTATTGGCCTCATCATGTGTAGCATAATCAAGTTCATCTCTTATCAACCGATTTAAGGCAGTGTGTGATATCTCTGAAGAAGGTTGTGGCATGTCAGGGAAATCTGTCAATGACTTTCCAAGTTTATTCAAGATATGCTCAATCTCTTGTAATCCTTGATTCTACATCTCTTCAGGTGTTAATCATAAATTAGGGTTTCTAGTTTGATGTTGCATCATTCTCTCAAGGTCATCAGTAAGTCCACCCCAATGTTGTTCCCACAACTGTTTTGGATCACTTACTTCTGAAAACATCAATATGGCGCAAAACATATTTCTCAACTGTGAACCCGATGCCCAGGTAGATGCTTCTGACAAAGTTGCATGCCACTCATTATCGTCGTCAAGTAACCTTATGGCATGACAGGCGGATCTGAAGGTAGGGTGGATGAAACCATTAACAGTTTGTATATCTTCATAAGATTTTGCTCTACAAACCTTAGTTAAAAGCAACCGTAAGTAATAACGTCCCCCCGAATTTGGATGAACAAAAGGCAATCTACCAATGCAAGGTCTATCAATCTGTTGTGTCCACCTTCTTAAAGAACGATCCCATTTGAATCCCGCTGGAAAATTTTGGTAAGTATATTAATTTGCTTCTGCAAAATCCTTGTTAGCTTGAAACCACATAGTTAACATGGTTTGTTGCAATCTCGGTTGTTCAAGGGTTGTATGCAGATCATCATTATCATTCAAAACCACAAATTGTTCACCAGGTAGATGAAACTAAAGTAGTTCCGTTGAAGGATATTGATGTTGCAAATCAAACTCAAATATTCTCCAGCATGCTTCAATGGAAGATACATACCGACAGTCTAAGTATTGTTGTATCTCATCCACCCTACTTGCTTGTCGTACCTCTTGGCTGCGTCGTGTGTCTGTATTGTTTTCAATGACAAATGTTGCTCGATCTTGACCTTTAGTAACATACTTGTATAAATACTTCACCACACTTCTCGCACCAACACGCTCAACATTTATGTGTGCATTGTACTTAACACATAAATCTCTGTTGTATGGTACCACCCAACGATTATCAACCTCCCTTCCATTAACAATGATAGGCTTTCTATTTTGCCTACGTCTATACTGCACAAAGCCATTTTCATCAAAGGTGGTTTCTGCACAAAATTTCTTCGGGAAATGCTTTAAACACTTTCCATCTATTAAACATGGCCCACATGGTCCATGGAGCATGTTCTTGGTAACTGTTTCATATGTCAAAGGATCTCTATCCTTGTCAGGGATTTTCGCAGAGATAATTACATCGATATCCTCTGGACACTTAGGCTTATCTTCAGGAGCCAATGTTATGAGAATATGCGCATGTGGTAGTCCTCGCTTTTGAAATTCAATGACATAAAAATCTATATCATGAAATATAACACATGTTAATTAACGTAATATGTCAAGAAATATAGTAAGATTGTATAATTAAACCACAAAACTCACCAGTAATGACTTTCCCAAACTTCCGTTAATCCTTCAAATCGTGAAGCATTTCTTTGAATTTGATCTTGAAAACACGCGCTACAATGTTTGGTCTATCTTCATTGCGGCGATTTCCACATATAGATATCTCATTTACAATCTGAGGCCAGTTTGGATTGCAAGTGAAAGTTATAAATAAATCAGGTGGACCCAAAACACGGACAACTGCTATAGCATCTTGATAAAGATGGGCCATATAACGAGGGCTTCGTGTGAAGGATGATGGCAATATGAATTTTCGGCCTAAATCAATAGCATTCACATCTCCAGTCGTGATTGCATCTTGGAGTCCACTGTATAAATCAGAGCGAAGCCTACCTTGATTTTTCCTTATAAAAAGCAATCGATATTGTTCCATTGCAGCATATGCATCAACATTAAATTGTTGCAGTAACTGGCCAGCATCTATCAAGGTGTCACATTCTTCTTCCCTATTATGTATCCTAAATGCATAGAATTGCCTCATTGTCACAGTATTTCGACTGGTACTTGTATCGGACACCTTAGGTATCCCAGCTCTCCATCCATCAGTACCATAAGGGAACAATAGTGGGTATTGAAAAGGCATATAACTTGGATGAGTTTCATCAATCCTTTTTAATCCACCATCTACTTTTTGTAATATGATATCCCGATTACCTATGTCATTAGTTCCATCACCTACCATCAATGCCGCCACTTCACTTGCGGTTGGTTGGATATATTGTCTGCCTTCTCTTGCGCAAATAAGCTTTATTCTCAAATCTTGATGCTCACCTTGATCGCGCAACATACTTCTGGCATTTCTGAATACTGCGACATAAGGATTGATATCATCAAGCATTGTTTGTAGTCCTTGTAAAATTGTTGGATATAGGGAAGAAGCCTCTGCACCCCCCATGTAACGTAGTCGGTTAGATGTTTCATTTTCAGTGTCATAAATGTACAATTGTGCAAACTTTGGCCCAGTTCCAGGCTCAGGGAGTAAAGTTCCAATTCGATGGTAATTGCTACCACTTATACGATAGACATAGGGGCCTCTACCATCATTCACGGTGTTATCTATCCGATCGCCCATAGAGGTGAAAGCTAACACAGAGTTAAAAGCTCTAATATTGCTTCGAAATTGCTGACATGGAAAAACTGAATGTAGAAATGACGGTGTTAAAGGTAAAAGCGGCAATATAACTTGCCCACTTTGACAGCAGTGATTGAACCTTGGGTGTGTTTTATTGCTACTCTTTACCCTTTCTTCTATCCACATAAGGGCCTTGCAATTAGGAAACACAACCGTTCTAGGTCCAAACTCCCAACGTCTATCAAACTCATCTTTACGACATCGATGAGTCACTTCTACATACAAATAATTTATTTTAGAGAATATAAATTAACAATGTTGATATCAATAATGTGTGTGGTTAAGTAGCTTGGCAAGGTGGTAACCTATCCTTCCGACAATTTGCTCAGCAGGTCTAGCATCATTGTCTATCCCCTTATTAGGTGAGCTTTCTGGAATGAAAGTTTTTAAGAATTTAATAGAATCCTTCATGCAAGGTATTAGTACTATTAAAGTAAATATTAATGGTTCTTATAATTAAGTACCATTCATATTGATCTCATTAGCAAATTGCTCCACTTCACGTGTCACATCGTGATATTGATGTGCAGATCGACGTAATTGCAACCCATCATTTAGTGAGCTTTCTAGAATGAAAGTTTTTAAAAATTTAATAGAATCCTTTTTGCAAGGTATTAGTACTATAAAGTAAATATTAATAGTTCTTATAATTAAGTACCATTCATATTGATCTCATTAGGAAATTGATCCACTAATTCACGTGTCACATCGTGATATTGATGTGTAGATCGACGTAATTGCATCATTAATAGTCGCAAGGATCGTGGTTCTTTATCCAATAAGTAACGACGATGCTTGAAAATATGATCTTCATGGTTTGTAGTGCGTTTGAATAGTAACCTTCGCCTAACAGCTAATCTAGCATGTTTGTGTTGCAAATTCTCTCTGAATCGATAAATACTTGTACGTATGTCCATTCTAATCTAGTAATTATACAATAATCAAGAGATAAATATATAAGAATCGATATTATAGTTTGAACAAACATTAATTAATATAAGTAAGTTGTAACAATTTACAATGTTATAATCCTAGTAGTGGCAAATTAATAGCATGTCCCTCTAGCATGGGATAAATTCCTCATTTTACCTAAATATACATGATCATTCACATTACCAAAATTAAAGTACAATAAATTGTTCATACCTGTAGAGGGTAGAAATTTAAGATAAAGGGGGAACACAGTCAACGGAGTGTTATATAAACTGTTAAAAAATGGAACAATAAAAAAAAATGAATGAACGATCTCCAACACCAACTCAATTTCATTTAAAAAAATTGTCAAACCTATTATTGAATTCTACGTTACATGTATGAAATAGTAGTAGAATCGTGGTTTATTATTGCTAATTTTTTTTTTTGTGTTTTTTTTTTTTGAGGGAATTATTGCTAATCCTCAATTAAGGATAAATGTTGTTGTAGACTTGTATAAGAAGGTTGTTCATATAATTGTCTGTATTGTTTGATTTTGTAGAGTGTGTTTCTGCAAAATTAGTAAACTTCAGAGTAGTAAATTAAATGTCTTGCTTGCCATGATTAGTTTCACATAATCTGAGGAAAAATTAATACATTTGACTTTAGGCGGCAAAAATGAGGAAATTATATATATATATTAAAAAAAGATAAATTAAGCCACCTTATTTGTACGGGAGAAGTTTAATATTTACGTACGTAGAAAAAAAAACCATGAATATTAAAAATTACTATACCACCTTGTTTTTAGGGGAGAAGTTAGATATTTACATACGTAAAAAAAAAAAAAACTATTAAAGAGATAATTAAATTAAAACCAACCACCTAGTTACAAATGGTGTAGCAATTTCTTGTATCAATTCTCTTTCGTAGTGAGTAGGGGATTAGATAACATAATAGATTTTTTTTTTGGTTGAAAGAGATAAATTAAACCTTTATACAATATAAGAAATTTATTCTCGTGCTATAATAAGTATTAGATAGGAAGTCAGTTTCCAATAAAGTTTAATTTGTAATGCATTCGTAAAATTTATATGGTAATAAAAAAATACAATCAAATAAACAGTATTAGATTTACCATAATTATCCTACTATATAATAAACTTGAGCAAATAATCCAATATCTAGGTACTACAAACCTTCTTTCTCTCAAGCTTTTCGGCCGAAAGAGGTACACTCGAATCCTGCAAATTACCAATTCAATAAATCAATAATTCAAATCTCAGTAAGTACTTTGCAACTAAAACAAAGATTGCCATTCATTACTTGCTTCCAACATCCAAGAGCACTATAAATGACATTCTAAAGACCTTAAAACTGAAATACCCAAACCACTTCATCCGTTTCCTTCTTTATGGTGGAGTTCTAATTTAATCAAATAATCTCTCCACAAACCAATCAAAAAACCCCATGTTGACCAAATTTCCCAACAAACTCACATCCATTTACGTTAAATTAAGCACAAAAGATAATCTTTTAATCAAAAACTCTAATATCTATACAAAAGAAATTCACAAAAATAAAGGGTTTAATCTTTACCTCAATTTAATCTTCCAATAATATACAGAACCTCAAAGTGAGCAATTTTATAAATCATAACCAATGTATTAAAGAAGTAAAATAGGAGTGAAAAAGTATTCAAAAAATATCCTAATTCCTTAATGACGGTGTAACCTTAATGATCAAATTTCCTTAATGATCAAATTTCCTTAATGATTATAATTCCTCAATGATCAAATTTCGTTAGTTAATCTTTTATATAATTCCTTAATGATATTTACGTACCAAAAAAAAAAAAAAACAATCAACAAAGAGAGAATAGAATTATGAATAAAGAGTTTAATCTTTACCTCAATTCAATCTGTCGTAGTGAGTAGGATTATCTATCTCTGATTGAAACCCCAAACAATAACGTACTCTCTATCAGATTTGTGCTGCTCTTTTTTTTTTTTTCTTTTTTTTTGTACTGTGTGTGTGAAATGAGTATTGCAAAGTATAGTAGTAATACAAATAATCCATACTCTTTTGTAGTGTGTGCAAATATGGAGTAGTGTGGTGGAGTGTGGGTAACTGCCTACCATGATTTGTGTGTTTTATTTTTTATTTTATTTTTTTGAAATTCAAATATGTATATGTAGAGTAGGCAGTTTAGAGGAAATAAGGAAAATCAGGCGGGAGTGAATGAGAGTGTAGGATTGGGGATTTGGGGCACTCTCGTAAAAAACTACTTTTAAATTATATAAAAGATTACAATAACTAAAGTGTACCATGGGATATATGTAGTATATATATTATGAGAAAAAAAAGTAGAAGCGAAAGTTATTAAAGGGTGATTATTATTTTGTTTTGGTTTTTTTTTTTAATAGAGGGCTAGATTTTAATTGAGTGATATGGGTAGTTATGAGTAACAACGGTGGTTATTGGTTATTTTTTTCAAAAAAAAAAAAATAAAAAAAAAATAAAAAAATAAAAAATAGGATGACTAGAATTTCAGGGATGGGAATTTAGAGTACTGTGAATGAAAGTTGGAAAAAAACTCTTAAATTATATATTAGATTTCATTTTACATTCGTTTTATTATAATAAAATGATTTTTAAAAATGATTATATTTCTTTTTTGTAAAAAAAGAAAAAAAATAAAAATGTTACTTTCGGAATATATATATATATATATATATATATATATATATATATATATATATATATATATATATATATATATATATATATATATATATATATATATATATATATATATATATATATATATATATATATATATATATATATATATATATATATATATATATGGGATCATGTGAGAACCTAAGCATAAAATAGGAACTAGGAACTAATCTGGTGCGTTGATCGTCCTTTATCCAATGGCTGACATCCCACCCGCATTTTTCATTTTAGTAATGGTATTTTTGTAATTTTTCCACTTTGAATGACCTCCTTTCTTTCTCTCTCTCTTCCTTTCTTTTTTTCTCTCTCGTCGCGTCCTCATTTTCTCTCTCTAACATCGAGCTCTCTGCCACTACTAAGTTCTTCGATTTAGCGAATTTTTTGCTCAGATTTTTTGATTTTGATCTTCAATTATATCGTATTCTTCAGTTTTTTCATTCATTGAGGTAATTTTGTAATTATATTTGTATTTTGTTTGTTTATTTTGATTGTATTGTTTATTTTTGAGCTGAGTTTTTTTGATTTAGGGTTTTTTTTATTGTAATTTTTCTTAATTTTTGCTTATTAATTGTTCTCTGAATTATTCTATACAATTTAGTGTTTGATTTTGGGTTTTATTTTTACGATATTGGTTTTTAATTCCTATTTTATGGTTTTACACTTACGGATTCAATGTAGTTGTTTTCTGCGTGCATATAGTTGGTATATTGCTTGCTGTCATTAATTTAGTAATATAATTCGTTGTTGTTTTAAATTTACTTTTTGCTTTCAGTCATTAACTTTTCATTATTAGTTTTATTTAATTTTTATAACTTCATTTTTTTAGTTTCTTCAAGTTTTATAATTTTTATATTATTATTTACTTTATGCTTTGAGGCATCTACTTTTTAGTATATCTCTAATAGTTTTTATTAGTATATTTTTAAAAAATATTGTTTACTTTTAGTTATAGTTTATTTACTTTTATTTACTGTTTATTTACTTTTTCCTTCTATTCATTTACTTTTCAGGAACATGTTTGAAAGCGTAGAGCATATTTTTTTAAAATTATTGTTTACTTTTAGTTATAGTTTATTTACTTTTATTTATTGTTTATTTACTTTTTCCTTCTATTCATTTACTTTTCAGGAACATATCTGAAAGCATAGAACATTGTTCTTCTTCTGTCACTACTGAAGATAACAATGTAAGAATTTTTAAAACACCCACTCAACCTTTGCTTCCTAAAATATATTATAATTCTAGAGGTGATAAAGAGTATATGCCATGTTGTTCTTCTGAAAACAAACCTTTTGTTGGAATGATATTTGATACCCTTCAAGATGGTATTGCCTTTTATTAAAAATATGCTAATGAGTGTGGATTTAAAGTCCGTTCTAGTACTACTAAATCACAAAAGAATAAGAACGATCCTACTGGTAAAGGAGTTACTATAATTAAATATTTATTATGTAGCAAAGAAGGGTATGTGACAAATAACAAGAAACCTGTTAACAAGTTGAAGGTGCTTGTTTAAAGAGAAAGACTGTGAAGAGAGTTGGTTGTCCTGCTAAAATAAAATTTAGGTTTTGTACTGGTGGGAAGTATATGTTGTATTGTTTTTATTAATCTCATTCTCACCCTTTTTCTACACCTATTACTAGGCAGGTTACTAAAAATGAAGTTGGTTTAAATTTTGCTCATAAGAAGTTTATTTTTGACAAATCAAAGTTAAATATAGGGGTTGTTATGTCTTATAGGATCATGAACTTTGTGGTGGGTTTCAAAATGTCAGGGGCAGTAAAAATGGTTTCAAAAATTTTTCTAGGGAGTTGAAAGTTTATATCTCTAATGCTGATGGTGCAATGTTTGTTCAGAACCTTGAACAAAAAGTGAAAACCAGTAAAGGGGGTTATTATTTTGATTACTGTGTTGATGAAAGTAGGCATTTGACCCGTGTCTTTTGGGCTGATACTATTGGTAGAAGAGATTATCAATTATTTGGGGACTCTTTATCTTTTGATTCTACCTATGATACAAATAAATATTCATTGGTTTTCTGTCCTTTTACTGGTGTTGATAATCACAAGAGATGTGTTACATTTTGTGTTGCTCTATTATCTAAAGAAGACATAGATTCTTTTGTGTGTCTATTTCAAAATTTTTTGAAGTGTATGGGAAGAGAACCCTCTTGTATTATCAATGATCAAGATCCTGCAATGGGTATTGCCATAGAAAAGGTTTTTACCAAGACTAAACATAGGCTATGTATGTGGCACATAATGAGGAAGGTACCTGAAAAGGTTGGAACTGCTTTTTGTAATGAAACTAATTTCCTGAAAAAGCTAAGTGTAGTAGTTTGGGATAGAGAGATTGATCCTCATGTATTTGTTGATGGCTAGAATAGTGTTATGGAGGAGTTTAACCTTGTTGATCATGAGTGGTTTGCATACATGTTCAAGATTAAACATCTTTGGATTCCTGCATATTTTAGGGACTTATTTATGGGTGGGTTACTGCGTTCTACATCTAGGTCTGAAGGTGAAAATAGTTTCTTTTGCAATTTTACAAACCCTCATGTGACCTGTGTTGAATTCTTTGTCCGTTATGAAACTGTTCTTGATGCTCAAAGGCATGAACATGATGAGTTGTACAGGATTAATAAACTTGAGCCTCAATAGGTTACTAATTTACATTTGGAAAAGCATGCTGCTGTTGTTTATACTCGTTTCATATTTTATGATTTTCATGAAGAATGCCAGGGATCCTGTTTTTCATGTGGTGTTGAAAGTTGTAGTTCTCTGTATGGAGATGGTGTGGAGTTTTCTATTATTGTTGATCATGAGAAAAGGAAAAATTTTGATGTAAATTTTGACCTGGCAACATATGGGTCAAGTTGTACTTGTAGAATGTTTGAGAGTCAAGGTGTTTTATGTAGACACATTTTGTTTGTTATGAAAGGCAAATGTATACGTGAAATTCCTGATGCTTATATCTTGAATCGTTGGAGAAAAGATGTTATGAAGAAAGCTTCTGTCATAGATGTTGCTCTAGATGATGCTTCTAAGTATGATAAGAATAAGCAACTGGTTAGTGATGTATGGTCCAAGATTTTCAATTGTGTGAGTTTAACTGACCAATCTGAGGATGATTTATCTGAGCTTATTAGGACATTATCTTCATTTGAGGAGAAGATGATATCAAAGAATAATCCTGAAAATGCACCTAGTTCAAAAGAGGTGAAAGATGCTGATATTCAAGTTTTGGTTGGGTCAAATGAAGTTGATGTAAATGTCTTGCCTCCAAATCAGTGTCTTAATAAAGGTTCTGCCAGAAGTTCAAAGAGGTTGAAGAGTGCAAAAGAAATAGCTAGTGAAGAAAAATCTTAAAAAGGCAGAAATTGTAGAGCTTGTGGGCAATCTAGTGTTTCCCATGACAGTAGAAACTGTCCAAACAAGTAGTCTTTCAGGTATTTTACTTTTAAGTGTGTTCCATTTACTTTAAACTTCTATTTATTTACTTTAACAGTAACTTCATTTACTTTTTATTTTGCAGGTGTTATTATACTTGGTATTTTTTTTATTTGGTATTTTACCTCTTTACGTTTTCTATTTACTTTAAGTTGTAATTTATTTACTTTACATTTTAATTTATTTACTTTAATTTGTGACAAATAACTGATGTTTTTTTTTGGTGCAGTTATTTTCATACTTGGAAATTTAAAGATGTTTTGGAAGATCAAGATCAAGATTTAATGAACAAATATTTTTTATTATTTTTTTATTATTGTAATATTTTTACATTTACTATAAGTAATTGTACTACAGAACTTTAGTTTAGTTTGTTTACTTTTAGTTATTATACTTTAACTTTATGAAATATTTCATTTACGTTTATCATATTTTATATCATATGAATTATTTGATTTATATAATGTTCTTACTTACAAAATTAAAGATAATTTCTTGTATTATTCCCTTTGTCCTAGAATACTTGTTACCATATCCATTTTTTGTTCTAAAATACTTGTCATATTTTCGTGGAACCCGAGTTGACAAGAGTATTTGATACCTATTTTGAACTTGAATTGACGTGTAAATGACCCGACCCAAATGTAACCCATATATTATTGACTTGGTGATTTCAACTTGATTATTACCCGTAAAATTATTGACTTGAACCAAATTTGACTAAAATTCTAGAATGAGTTAATTTTCTAACCATTAATTATTGACTTTATTTGAATGTAATTTGACCGGTTATTAAACTCACCTAAACTTGTACCAAATCTAATAAGATGTAAGGCCGGTTGTAATTCGATCAACATAGGCCAAATGTTAGTGAGGAAAATGAAGTAGGAGACTTGACCCATCCCCAGTTTGGTGTATGATCACATTCGAGTTGGTAGAACACTTCAGGTCAAACACTTCGGATCATGTTCGGGTTGGTTAAACACTTTGGGTCAAACTCTTTGGGTCAAATTCGAGTTGGTCAACTTCAGGTCAGGTGACTTCGGGTGTTTGGTCAACATTAGGTCAACTCCATTTTCGAGTTGGGTATGGGTTAGGTTAAGTTAATTTCGAGTTTTGGGTCATTTTTTGTGTTAATGATTTTGGGTCAATTTTGGGTCATGCGTCGGGTCATTTGGGTTGGGTCAACGATTTTGACTTGAATACTTTTTCCCATTTCTTCCTTTACTTTATATCCATTTTCTATTAATTTAATAGTATTTTTTTGTACTTTAAAATTGAACACCTTATTTCATAATTTTTTTTAATACTTTTTTCCTTTTACTTTAAACATAGTATTATTTACTTTAACATTATTTTCATTTACTTATAATCGAATAACATTTTTTTGACTTTAATACTTTTTCTCATCTCCACCTCTACTTTTGATTCATTTTTTATTTCTTTAAAAGTATTTTTCTCTACTTTATAATCGAACACCACATTTCAGAAAGATTTTTTTAAAAACTTTTTTCATTTACTTTAAACACATTGTTATTTACTTTAACACTATTTACATTTACTTTTATATCTACCATCATTTTTGAGAAAGAACAATCCTAGTAATTTAACTTAGATATATAATATGTATTCTTTTTTTTAACACAAACTGAAAATATTATATTAAGTGGCTAAAGCCATGTTTTTAATTACAAATAGCATCACATAATTTTTACATTTATAATTAATGCTAACCAAAATAAGGTATAATATTATACTAGAACTACCAAATTGCTATACAACAGTCCCTGAATTTCATTTCCCTAAACCTGCACCAACCCAAAAGCTCTTTTCATCCATCACAAAAAATCACATATAACTACAGAGACATAACATTAGCTACTATAGCATTAGTACCACTGTTTGAAGCTACAGCCGCAGAAGTAGAAGCTACAGCAGCAGAACTACAAGTTGCAGAACTTGAAGCTGCACCAATAACTTATCTTCAACCACTACTTAACAAAAGTTTTGCATTAATGCTACACAAGTTCAAGTACTCTAAATATCTATGATATATTCAAGTCTACTGATATCATGTACAATTGTTCTGATTCTTTCTTTTCTTCCCAATCCTCAACATTTGTTAGCAATTTCTGTTTCATTTGATTTCTTTCATTGAGAAGTAGGTCAAGCACTAATCTTATATGATGGTGATTCAGTCTTGCAAATTCCTAAAAAAAAATTATAAATAAATTATACTCTAAGTATAGATTAGTTCTAGAGTGTAACGACTTCAAAAATAAGTATGGTAACTTACCTCTATTATTGTTCCTAATCCTATGCCATTTGCACCATCATAAACCTTCATATGCAACAGTAGATAGCTTGCTGAGAAATTATCTTCTCTTTCTTTTTGGAATGGAAGTTCAATTATTCTCAGCTTGTAGGTCAGCATATCATTTGCTTGTAGATGCTTCCTTTGTTTTAAACAACTTATGTACTTGTATCACCTGAATGCAATGAATATTAGTATAATAAAAGATATTGAAAAATGAATTTAAAGATAATTTTTTAATTTATGGATTCTTTACCGTTTCTAAGATAAAACTCAGTACAGGCTCATATTCTTCATTTGTCTCGTACAAAGTGTTGTCCAGATGATCAATTGTTTCATCTTTGAAGTTTATCACAACAAGAAAATAATGATCTTCTAACATCAGTGGTATATATACCTGCATATAGATTTGTTTTAAAAATATTTACTTTAAACATGTTTTTAATTACTTTAAACATATATTGTTCTACTTTAATATTAATTCCGTCTTACACATTGAGCTGCATCCAAGTCCTATGATTGTGAAGTGTTCCAATCAATCCATAGTTTTGTAGACTTGTTACTCCCTTTTTTCCATGAGCTTTCAAACACATTGTTAAAGCATCCTTCCAAAGAAAAAAAATCCAATTATTATTTCTAATATTTTTTCAATGCAGAATTCTAAACTATAAAAGTTAATTTGAAAAACTTACCATGAAGTCAAATCCAAAAACGTATCTGACCAAGTCATTTTCAGACCTATCTTTATTCAGGTGGTTTGACCAAGCAGTGATCACATTACTTGAAACTTTCCATTCATTGAGCAAAGCGTTACAATCTTGCCTTACTATTTCAATTGAATCTATAAACCAGTCAACTACTTCGCTGTAATGTAGAGTTAATGTTAAAGTTAAACTTATGTTAAACAATATTATATATAATGCAATATGATTATTTGTTTTTTTAGGAAGTCTAAAACATACCTCTTGTTTGGAAAGTTTTCACCATCATTATTTGCTAAGTAGTCAATCACTTGGTAACATTGCAAACTCATGTTATCCATTACTTCCTTGTGTTTCTTCAAGAAATCAGAAACACAAATCATATCTTCTACCCCTTTCTCCTTCTCTAGTTTTCTAACTACCCTGAACCTTGAAATTTTTCTCTGAAGTTGTTTTCTTTTGGTGTTTATGTCTGCCAAAGCAAGAGTAGCACATATTTCTACACGATAAACCTTTCTCCTATTTGCTAAATCAAGGTTAGAATCAAAAGTCTCTCTAGAAAAACACAACATATGGATCATTGCAAAAACACCACAATCAAGAGTATATCTTGGTGTCTTCCACTTGAAGTTAACTTCATCAAACTCATATTCAAGAATTTCATCAGCTTTTTCATGATTAATTCTTTTCAGAAAGTTTGACATTTCCTCCACCTTTAACATTTGTAAAGCAATATATAAGTAAAAAAAAATTTATAGTATAAATTACTTTAATAAACATATGATTTACTTTAATTAGAACATCTTTTACTTTATATTTTATATTATATTTTTATAGGTAATAAAATATGTACTTTTAATAGATATTCTTTTACTTTAATAAAAATATTATTTACTTTAATCAGATCATCTTTTACTTTATATTTTATCTTATTTTTTAATTGTCATTATAATCTATACTTTTAATACATTTTCATTTACTTTAATAGTAATTTTATTTACTTTAATAATTTACTTTTTATAAACCAAAAAAAATCTTACCACAATAGATCCAAGAATTCTGTAGAAAGGCTTGTGCCTGTCATCATACTCCCTGTTATCCAAGTAATGAATGGTCTGATTCATAAAGTTAAACACTATTAAACTATAGTGGTTACTCATACAGATTGGAACAAAAATCTGTCACTAAAATTACAGTTATTAGTTTAAAATTCAAAATCATAATTCCATACAATGTAGTTTAATAAACATGAATAATAAGACATACCAACTAAGCTGTCTTAATTTTCTCCTTTGCATCACATAGGCACATCCAATCATACCATGCCTGATTCAATTCTTGTGAGTGTACTAAAGGAGACTTCACCTCTGTTTTTTTTATCTATTGGCTGGGAAGCATCTTGTGACCCGAGAGACAGCTCTAGAGGTCTCTGTGTATTAATAAGAACATACAACATATTACTTTATGAGATCATATATATTTAATTATGATTGAGCTTAACAGTTTTTTTAACTCTTACACTGTGATCAATGCCAAAGAAAAAGCATGAAGGATCTTCTTTCAATTGAGAATCATTCATTAGAAATGACCAACATTGAACTATATTAGATTTTATCATTTGAGTAGGGGCTGTTGGAGCTAGGGATGTTGTGTCATCTCTTGTTATCATGAGAAGACTTTCTAATTTCCCAATCTCTTCACTGTGCAAAATTAAATATTTATAGTAAATAAAATATTATTTAAAGTAAACTAAATATAATTTAAAGTAGATATAATATGTTTGAAATTAAATAATATATTATTTACTGTTTGAATGGGTTGTACTTCACAAAGCAGTATTCAGCCACTACTTGAAAAAGCTCTTGCATTTCATTCATTCTTGATTTGTTTCCTTTCATTGTCTT